TCAAACATTTCTCAGACAACAGTGCTCATGCGGGCGGCGATAGATGTCAAAATTAGACAAGTTATTGATAGTTTTCGCAAATAAGTTATTATTATCATTCACACGGCACGTTGCGTTCATCGGTAGCATAGTGTAGTTGATATCACGTCCGCCTTAGAATCAGATGGTCGTATGTTCTACCCCCAAAGTTGTGTTTTTTTTTTTTGTTTTTTTTTAAATTATTATTATTGTAAATTTTTCTTTCAGTTCCTGCTACTTTTTAGCAACGGATGACTCAAGTATTATTATTATTTTGGTATGTAATAACATAGTGACTACAAATAACTGATTAAAGTGGCAGCCGTGGAAGGTTTGCCAATCAAATTTTGGGATACGGACTAGGAACAGTTCTTCCCATTAATTCCCCCCCCCCCCACCCCAAGAGGCGATAACCAAGTCTGTGGGGCACCATCATGCCTCTGACTTGTCACCACTCGGACCAACCACACAACTCCCCAGGGTAAAAAAATTTAGGTGTACAAAATAAAGCCCTCACCGCCAACGCATCTCTTGCGTTTGGAGGATAGAAAAGTATTGCGCACAGCAGAGACTTTTTTTTTTCACATTGCTTAGCACAGGGCAGACAGCTATTTCCAGGAACGTAGCAGCGAAAGGGCTAATATGGTTATTGTCGCAATCATTGTCTGCTCAGATATAAAGATAGTCTTTGATCCACCCCCTCCTCCCCAACCACTAAATCCACCTACTACTCTCTCCCTTATTAAAAGGTTTTTGGAAAAGAAAGACAATAGAAATCGCACGTGTCTAATATAGTTAATGTCGCAATCATTCTCTGCACAGATATAGAGATAGTCTGGTTTTCCAACTTTAGATTACGCACCATATAATTGTGTCTCTATATTAGTGGTCGTTTAAATGGTGTTATTAGCACAGTAACAAAAATGGTTATTTGGTTATCACATGCTAAAGCTGTTTGTATTTTTATAGGAGACGGAAGTAAAGCAACTACTGTACTTGTAAATAAGAAAGTAAGTGGTAAAAAAATTAGAATAGCTGAGGGAGCGGTAGTAAAATATAAACAAATGAACTAATGAGAACTTTAAAATCATATGTTAAGCTCTTTAAGTTAACAATTTCAGTCATTCCCCCCCCCCCCCCCCCCCCCCTACCGACTACTGCTCTCTCCCTCTTCGAAGGATTTGAAAATCATCACCTGACGTTATTTTTTTTTTTTTTTTGGTAACTGACATTGACATCCTTGTCCATCGGGACTAAAATGCGGTGCAGGAATTGTAATAGGTAGTAAATGGGGCTAGTGTAATATTTACAACATTACCCGTCAAGTACCAGTACAACTACTACCACGACCACCACCACAAACGGTGTAATCGCCCAACCACAACTACTACTGCTGCTACTTTGAGTGGGTAAGGCAGTTACTGTAACTTAAAGCTCTCCCAGTAAAGAGTGCGCCCCCCCCCCCTCCCAATTCACCGACTGCTCTTTTCCTCATCGAAGTAGTTGGGAAAAAAAACACAAATTGAAAAGCAATGAAAACGTGAAATATACACCATAATTAGGAAATGAACGCTATGGTAAACAGCACAGCTTAAAATTCCAACGCAGATGAAATAATAAAATCTAAATGAAAAAAAATGGAAAGCTATAAAATTTCAGCGTAACCATGCAATCGGAAAGTTTAAAATGAAATCATAAGTATGCGAAATGGTCAAATTTAATTATCAACTGGTTTACCCATATACCTGTCCTTTTTTTTAAGTATTACGGGCCACATGGCTAGTGCTGTCGCCATGACAGTGCAGGTGAGATTTTATTTTGCCCCCGGGTAAATAAAAACAAAATACTGCGGATTCGGACCCTTGTCTCCTGCACAGGAGCCTAGTGTTCTAGCCATTCAACCAAGCGACCACTCCATAGGAACAGCGAAAAGAGAACAAAACTATTTGAGATGTGTGTTCCTACTACTGTGTCCCGATTAGAACACAACAGCAGGCAATTGTTTTCTCAGACAGATAATCCAGATATATTATTGAAACGGCACAATAGAAATGGCACGTGTCTAACACGGTTAATGTCGCAGTCATTGTCTGTGCAGACCTCGAGATAGTCCTTGTCCCCACCCCCTCCCCCTCTTCCAATCAATAGGCTACTCTCCAACTCATCGAAGGTTGTTTGAAAAGACAGAAAATAGAAATCGTGTCTCATATGGTTATTGTGGCAATCATTGCCTGCACAGATATATAGATAGTCTTGTTTGCTGTACCACGGCCTACTCTATTTATTAGGGAAGGCGTTGGCTGTACGTATCTCGCTGGCGAATGGTGGAAGTCTTGCGTTCTGACTACAGCGCATGCGCATTTACTAACATGGCTATAATTAAATGTCACTAAAAATGGAAATATTAGTTTCGAAGATTTTTGCAAAAGTTATGGTCTCCTATCTCTAACAATGACAGGCTGAATATCAAACCATGATGGATAAACACCCGGTATCAAAACCAACATATCCTGAGAATTTCAGCAAAATCGGTTCAGTAGTTTTCGTGTCTATAGCTCATAAACAAACATACAAACATTGATTTATATATATACACACACACACACACACACATACACATGCGAAAAAAAAAACATAGACATCTAAAGAAAACAATCACTTACCTATATCACAAGAATTAAATATGGTTGAAGACAATAATAACAACAATGAAGAAAGCATGATCTACAGAAGAAATCTGAAAACACCAGTTTATCCACAAACAATGATGCAGCCTTCTAACCGTGGAGACGCAATCTCTGCATGTCCACCCCAAGAGACTATGTTATATAACAAGAAAGATATTGCGGCTCATAAACGTAAATGTTACAGAACCAAGAGGAAATAATGACATATTTTACGATCTGAATAAACAAACAGTTCTGTTTCTCGCGAACTGAAATACTTCGAATATATTAACGGCCATTACAGTTTGGAGGGAATAATAACATCGTATTGTTTCTAGAAGAAGAGGCAGGGATTAATCTGCACAAGATATCAAGGACACCCTGGGCACAATAGTTCAGTTCGCGGAAAAACTGATAGGGCACTGAGTGTTCTGATGTGCCGTAATGAGAGCGACGTTTTGCAAAGGACCTGCTAAATGATGATGATAACAACAATGATGATGTTACACCTTCAGACACCACTGAGATCACTACAAGTGCCTCCCACCCGCTGTACAAGAATGGCAACCACACATATCTTAGAAGTAGTTTTGGGGATATTTAAAAGGAAGCTGAAATTACTTTAGGATGGTGGTATAGACAGTCACATAGAAGCAGAAATACCCCAGCGTTATCTCTGCACCAAATACAGTCCGAGCATCTGTGACTGTTCTAACAGTGGGTCACTGACGCCTGCCATTTTCTGCGCGCTCTATAAAGTCAGTAGCCAAACACTTCGATGGGCATGCGTGACAACAGAGACAGGCAGACAGACAGACAGACGTGTAGTCACTCTCTTTTACTGACACTGACCACAAACTCTGGGCTAGCACCAAAGAGGAGGACACACTCCATTACTGCCAGCCCTGACAGGGAGAAAACTCAGCCAAGACCTGGGCTAAATATTGTTTTTCTGTCTGCCCCTATCTTGTGTGCATCCGCATGTTCGCCGTTGTGTCTGTATATCTGTTTCTCGAGAACTGTATGCGCCTCCAAATCTGTATCTCATCGAAAAATAGCCTCTCCCCAGCTATGTATGTCTGTCTCAGATCGGTATGTCTGTCTCCCTAAACCTCTTTCTCTCTAAATCCGAATGTCTGCCTCTGTCAATCCGCATGTCTCTCTGAATATGTATGTCAACCTCTCTAAATCTGAACTACTCTCTCCAAATCTGTATGTATGCTTCTGTTAGTAACATGCTGATTTGCAAGTCTGCCATAGTATGTGTCTCTTTGTTAGTACAACTTCAACACTGTAAACTGTCCTCTTGATGATATATATATATATATATATATATATATATATATATATATATATATATATATATATATATATATATATATATGTATGTATGTATGTATATACACACACACACCTCTGTCTCCAGTTTAGCATCAACATCTGTCAGTTTTTCTGTAATAACAATTTCTCCACTATTACTTACGCAGACCTGTAAGCTGTTTTTCTACGCGTACTAACACAGACCTGTATGTCAGTTTCTGTTTCTTTGAACATTTTTGAAATAGCATGTCTGTCTTGCTCACCGCCAGAAATAATACTGATTTGAATATCTGTCTAGCTGCTACAAATGTCGCTGATTTGCTTGTCTGTCTCTCAGTACAATCCTTATCTTGCAAAAGGTGTTTCTACTTTCGACAGTAACTCTAAACAATATCTGTTTCTCTCCCAGTTGCCTTCTTTCTCTACCATTCTCTTTCAAACCTACGCATTTCCAATCACTTATTTGCAGACAATGCTTTCTCTCTGTCTCTGTTTCTCTCACAGACAGATTACACACAGACACTCATATACATCGTACATTCTGACAATCTTTCTCAGTTACTGTCTATGTCTCTCTCTCACACACACACACACACACAGACACACACACACTACACTGTTCTAGGTGTGTGCAGTTTGTAACCAAGCCATATTTTATACAATGGAGTCCTGAGGCTCAGACATTAGTAAACACATTTCACAATCCTCGACGTATCTGGGTTGGTTCCATTCAACTTTCCCTCTCACGCTGGTGGTTCAGACAAAGACTTCTCTGTCTTTCGGACAATGGCATCACTAACGTAGAAGTAACCGGGAGGCCTCAGGAGGCAATATTCTCAGTAACAACAAATGGGCATAACACTTCAGCCAGCCTTCAAATTGGAGAAGGCACATTTTTAATGTTAATGTCATAAGCAATGGCAGCATCTGACTTGAGAGGAGAATGTCAGGAATTGATGACGTCAAAATTGTAGAGAGTACTTCTGGTGGACTCACCTGTCACTGCTGTGAACAATCACTGGCCCGTCCCCAACATTTGGACAATGGTAAGGGTAGGTGTCTGAATGTCCACTGCTCATGTAGTGGTCACTAACGTCCATGCTATGGCTGTGTCCTGAAGGAACAGATCCAGACCGGTGCATGGGTGGTCGTGGGTGCTGATACCGCATCTGGCCATCTGGAGATAGATAAATGACAGTGTGAAGATATCAAACATGGAAGCAGGGGCAGTGACGAAGTATCAACAAATTTTTACATCAACAAACATCATCATCCACATTTAGGCTGATCTTTTAGTTAGTCATATAGGAGTTGCAAACCATGGACAGAACTCCGCTACCATCATATTTAAATATACATGTTAAGGAATGTACAGTCATAGTAATATACAGATAACAGCCAGAATAATGCTCTGATACCAGTCATAGCAATGTACAGATAACAGTAGCAATTTACATGAGTAGTATTGTACAGATAACAGTCAGAGTAAAGTACAGACAACAGTAGCAATTTACATGAGTAGTAATGTACAGATAAACAGTCATAAAAATGTACAGATAACAGTCATAGTAATATACAAATAACAGTCATAGTAATATAAACATAACAGTAGCAATTTACATGAGTAGTAATGTACAGAAACAGTCAGAGTAATGTACAGATAACAGTAGCAATTTACATGAGTAGTAATGTACAGATAACAGTCATAAAAATGTACAGATAACAGTCATAGTAATGTACAGATAACAGTCATAGTAATGTACAGATAACAGTCATAGTAATGTACAGAAAACAGTCATAGTAATGTAGAGATAACAGTCATAGTAATGTAGAGATAACAGTCATAGTAATGTACAGATAACAGTCATATTAATGTACAGATAACAGAAATAGTAATGTACAGATAACAGTCATAGTAATGTACAGATAACTGTCATAGTAATGTACAGATAACAGTCATAGTAATGTAAGGTAACAGTCATAGTAATGTAGAGATAACAGTCATAGTAATGTAAGGTAACAGTCATAGTAATGTCAGATAACAGTCATAGTAATGTAAGGTAACAGTCATAGTAATGTCAGATAACAGTCATAGTAATGTACTGATAACAGTCATAGTAATGTAAGATAACAGTCATAGTTATGTAAGGTAACAGTCATAATAATGTACAGATAACAGTCATAGTAATGTCAGATAACAGTCATAGTAATGTCAGATAACAGTCATAGTAATGTAGAGATAACAGTCATAGTAATGTACAGATAACAGTCATAGTAATGTACTGATAACAGTCATAGTAATGTAGAGATAACAGTCATAGTAATGTACAGATAACAGTCATAGTAATGTCAGATAACAGTCATAGTAATGTAAGGTAACAGTCATAGTAATGTCAGATAACAGTCATAGTAATGTACTGATAACAGTCATAGTAATGTAAGATAACAGTCATAGTTATGTAAGGTAACAGTCATAATAATGTACAGATAACAGTCATAGTAATGTCAGATAACAGTCATAGTAATGTCAGATAACAGTCATAGTAATGTAGAGATAACAGTCATAGTAATGTACAGATAACAGTCATAGTAATGTACTGATAACAGTCATAGTAATGTAGAGATAACAGTCATAGTAATGTACAGATAACAGTCATAGTAATGTACATATAACAGTCATAGTAATGTACAGATAAGTGGTGTAACTGCAATGTAAATGAAGTCATCAATAAACATGCATAACTGTTATCCTTCTCATATTCTTGTTTTTACTGCAGAAGCTCAATTTGTGTGTGTGTGCGTGTGCGTGTGTGTTTTTTTTTTTAAATCTCTGTATGTGTCTTGCACAGCAGAATCTGATGTCAATGGAACCTGTCTAATGTCTAGTTTATTAATTATGACTGAATGGCTTTTATCTGTAACTTGCATACATCTATGTCCGCTGTTAGTGCCTATCTGCCGTTTGAAGGCACCCATATCTGCTGTCAGATAACACTAGCTGCATCTTCCGTCTGTATACATACAACACATCTGATGGCAAAACTCATCTAAAACTGCAGTCAGCAAACATCTACATCTATTCTCTGCAAACATCTACATCTGATGTCGATGAACATCCACATCTAATGTCTATAAACATACACAGCTGCTACATCCCATCATGGTGAAACTATGGGGGTGACTGCAGTCAAGCTAATACAATGAATTCTAGAGAAATTTGACTAAAAAGCTCAACAAAATGGGAAAGAGGAAAACGTGCACAAAACAACACAACGTAACGTTTCGGCCAGGCAGCCTTTTTCAAACACAAGTGAAATACACAAACGAGGAATGGAGAGTATGTAGATCTCTAAGGGGTGACGTGAGCGACGTTTAAAAAATGTGATGCGGAATAAATGATACACAACATGTAGACAAGTCATCCATGACTACAGTCGGTACACAGCATGAAGACACGTCATCCATGTTTTCTTATATCCTAGCAAGCTTGTGTACTTATCAATGACAGGGACATTTCGTTCATTACCATCCAAAATGAAATTAATGCCAAAACATTTCTAGTGCCCGCCGTTTGCTGCTTGGAAATTAGTTTCTGTGTGTGTGCGTATGTGTGCGTCAGAGACAGAGAGAGAGAGAGAGAGAGAGAGAGAGAGAGAGAGAGAGAGAGAGAGAGAGAGAGAGAGAGAGAGAGAGAGAGAGAGAGAGAGAGAGAGAGAAAGAAAATCAGTTCAATTGCCACGACGCGTATATACTTCGAGCTTTCTGTATGTCTTTGGCCACCCCCCCCCCCTCCCCCCAATCAGTACAGTGTACCATGCGTGCAAATAGGATAATGATAAACGAATGTTACTAAAATGATAGAATGTATTCATAATCTTCAACGTGACTGTTGCAAACAGATAGAGGTGCCTTCTGCATCTGATATGAAACAGTGGCTGCCTGCAGACAGCTGAATCCACCCTTGCCGGACGTGACAGTAATACGGCACCAGTGTGTGCCTTCCTGGGGATAAATCAACTGCTGCCTGGTGTGGGCCACTCGGCGATTGGTCCCTGGGACAAGTTGCTACATCCGGGCTAACGCGCCGTTCCCCAGGGCTTGGGGTTATATCGATATTGACTAATAACACGAGTGGCTTTGGAGTTTGGCCAAGCCCGTTTCTTCATCAGGTCGTGATTCGAACAATAGTCAAAGCTTTCATTGTTATTGTTATTTATTTTGTATCTTTTTGACATTATTATTATGTAGCCGTCTTTAAATCTATTTCCAAGCATCAACACCAGAAACGCAACTATGAATATATATATATATATATATATATATATATATATATATATATATATATATATATATATATATATACATATATATATATATATATATATATATATATATATATATATATATATATATATATATATATATATATATATATATATATATAATGTTTTTTGCTAAAAGAGTTAGTCACATAAGTCAGTTATCTCACTTTCAGGAACAGATTCGTTCCCCGCTTTCTTATTCTATATCTCATTAGTCCTTGTTTCCAGAGGGGTGCAAAACTAAACAATATACGGGAGGCTAAAGGAAAATCTGGCGAATATTAGGTAGTTAAATAATGGAGTGTAAAATAATACTGAGAGGCAATCAACTTAAGGACAGATATCAAGAGGCACGTTTGAGCTGTAGAGCAACTGTAAGCTAGCAGTGGACACTGAACGTCTAGAACATATCATTAGCTAAGTAGTAGCTGTCGGCTCTGTGGCAAAGTCGATGCGAACGCTTCGTAATGCCGGGATGCCGGGTTCGATCCCATGCGCCTTGCTGGCCTTGCATGGTTTCGACAGTGGTATCAAGAAAGCCGACCGTTTAGGAAGCGATGGCAAACTACTGGACGTACATTTGCCTAGAAAAACCACACAACAGCCAGGGGCTGTTGGGGTTGGTTCTGCAACGTCCTGTAAAGGATACGCAAGCAACCATCAAAGTAGTAGCTGAGACTTTTGGTAAAGACCGGGTGGCAAAATCAGAGACAAGCCAGCTAGGACCTAACCAAGAGACTCACGTCTGACATAAACCTCCAGGTCCTAGTAATCACCGTCTACACTTTTAATTAAAGACACCGTGCGACTCTAGGCGCCATAAGAAGGCGCCTACCTAACCCCGGACCTCTTCACAGGGGCGCCGCGATATTTCCGAAAACACACGAGTTTTATTCTTTTTTTTTCATCTGTTACATACGAATAGTCGTATTTTCACATAGGCTAGGGCAACGTGAAAAATATTTAATTGAAAAAAAAAAAGGCGCCGCGATTAAGAAAAGTTTGGAAAACACTGGCCTAAACAATTATGGGCTAACGAATGCTCGATTCACAGAATCAAGCGTCGCAGCGCGTGTCTAACAGCGATATTGCTACACGTTAACAACTGTCCTATATAACCACCTGGCGCATACAGCTGTTAAATAATTGGTTCACACAACTGTTAAATGCATGGCTCATACAGCTGTTAAATTATTGGTTCACACAACTGTTAAAAACATGGCTCATACAGCTGTTAAATACTTGGCCCATAAAGCTGTTAAATACTTGTCTCATAAAGCTGTTAAATACTTGTCTCATAAAGCTGTCAAATACTTGTCTCATAAAGCTGTTAAATACTTGTCTCATAAAGCTGTTAACTACTTGTCCCGTTCAGCTGTTAAATACTTGTCTCCTACAGCTGTTAAATTATTGGTTCACACAACTGTTAAAAATATGGCTCATACAACTGTTAAATACTTGGCCCATAAAGCTGTTAAATACTTGTCTCATAAAGCTGTTAAATACTTGTCTCATAAAGCTGTCAAATACTTGTCTCATAAAGCTGTTAAATACTTGTCTTATAAAGCTGTTAAATACTTGTCCCGTTCAGCTGTTAAATACTTGTCTCATAAAGCTGTTAAATACTTGTCTCATAAAGCTGTTAAATACTTGTCTCACAGAGCTGTTGAATACTTGTCTCATAAAGCTGTTAAATACTTGTCTCATAAAGCTGTTAAATACTTGTCTCATAAAGCTGTTTAATACTTGTCTCATAAAGCCGTTAAATACTTGTCTCATAAAGCTGTTAAACACTTGTCTCATAAAGCTGTTAAATACTTGTCTCATAAAGCTGTTAAATACTTGTCTCATAAAGCTGTCAAATACTTGTCTCACAAAGCTGTTAAATATTTGTCTCATAAAGCTGTCAAATACTTGTCTCATAAAGCTGTCAAATACTTGTCTCATAAAGCTGTTAAATACTTGTCTCATAAAGCTGTCAAATACGTGTCTCATAAAGCTGTTAAATACTTGTCTCATAAAGCTGTTAAATACTTGTCTCATAAAGCTGTTAAATACTTGGCTTATACGATGTTAAACACTACTAAGATTCACATCTCAGTCTACAAGCACAGAAAACAGAGGTTTATCTATCTAGCTGTTGAGTCCAGACAGCCTGGTCGTGTAACATAAACTGATTATGTGGCAGTACGTTATAGCAAAATCAGAGAAAGTAAACCTGTCACATAGCGGTCAACAGTGACCGATCCCTGGGTATTTCCAACAAGGCCAGGCAGTACAGACTGATATCAGTTATAAAACGTCAGGGACTGATTGTTTTTTTTTTTTTTACCAGGTCGTGATTAGGGCAAGAGAGTCAGGGCTTTCAGTGTTATGGTTGTTAGGTTTTATTGTGCATTAGTATGATTATTATTAGTATTATTATTTAGTCATTATACAAAATTACTTCGTAGCATCAAAACCAGAAACGAAACCATGAATACAAAACCTAAATTAACACAACACCAAATATACAGTATAAATTGAGGAAAGTACAGGAAATATTGGCTACATAGTCGAAAATATGTTCGGTGGACATTTGATCTCATGGTCTATACAGTCGAAAATGTGTTCGGTGGATATTTGAACTATACAGTCGAAAATGTGTTCGGTGTACATTTGAACTCATGGTCTATAGAGTCAAAAAATGTGTTCGGTGGACATTTGAACTATACAGTCGAAAACGTGTTCGGTGTGCATTTGATCTCATAGTCTATACAGTCGAAAATGTGTTCGGTGGACATTTGAACTATACAGTCGAAAATGTGTTCGGTGTACATTTGAACTCTTGGTCTATACAGTCAAAAATGTGTTCGGTGGACATGTGAACCCATGGTCTATACAGTCAAAAATGTGTTCGGTGGACATTTGAACTATACAGTAAAAAATGTGTTCGGTGGACATTGGAACTCATGGTCTATACAGTCGAAAATGTGTTCAGTGGACATTTGAACTATACAGTCAAAAATGTGTTCGGTGGAAATTTGAACTATACAGTCAAAAATGTGTTTGGTGGACATTTGAACTCATGGTCTATACAGCCGAAAATGTGTTCGGTGGACATTTGAACTCATTGTCTATACAGTCAAAAATGTGTTCGGTGGACATTTGAACTATACAGTCAAAAATGTGTTCGGTGGACATTTGAACTATACAGTCACAAATGTGTTCGGTGGACATTTGAACTCATGGTCTATACAGTCGAAAATGTGTTCAGTGGACATTTAAACTATACAGTCGAAAATGTGTTCGGTGTACATTTGAACTCATGGTCTATAGAGTCAAAAAATGTGTTCGGTGGACATTTGAACTATACAGTCGAAAAGTGTTCGGTGTGCATTTGATCTCATAGTCTATACAGTCAAAAATGTGTTCGGTGGACATTTGAACTATACAGTCGAAAATGTGTTCGGTGTACATTTGAACTCTTGGTCTATACAGTCAAAAATGTGTTCGGTGGACATGTGAACCCATGGTCTATACAGTCAAAAATGTGTTCGGTGGACATTTGAACTATACAGTAAAAAATGTGTTCGGTGGACATTGGAACTCATGGTCTATACAGTCGAAAATGTGTTCAGTGGACATTTGAACTATACAGTCAAAAATGTGTTCGGTGGAAATTTGAACTATACAGTCAAAAATGTGTTTGGTGGACATTTGAACTCATGGTCTATACAGCCGAAAATGTGTTCGGTGGACATTTGAACTCATTGTCTATACAGTCAAAAATGTGTTCGGTGGACATTTGAACTATACAGTCAAAAATGTCTTCGGTGGACATTTGAACTATACAGTCAAAAATGTGTTTCGTGGACATTTGAACTCATGGTCTATCTATCTATCTATTGTCTTCTTCACTTTTACCGGGTTGTAGCCCAGTGTCGTGGTTTAAAATTTTTGTTTTGTGCCTCTCGCGTGATTTGAGTGACAGTTTTCTGGATCCTCTGGCCGTATTCAGCTACTCTATCTATCTGTTTTTTTTCCTGGGTCTTCCTCTAGCTTTTCTTCCCGATGTTCTTCTGTAAAAGGCCTTATAGGGAATCTGATCCGGTTGCATTCTTACTAAATGGCCAAACCACTTCATTCTCTGTCTTTCGATATGTTTCATGCATGCTCTTGTTCCAACTTTGTCTCTAATGCTGGCGTTTGTGACTCTGTCTCTTTGTGTATTGTTGGTGACTCTTCGGAGACATCGCATTTCACACGTAGTTATTTTTTGCATATGTGATTTGTTCATTGTCCACGTTTGGCACTGATAACATAACGTAGGGATGAAAATGCTGTTGATCATCCGTTGCTTGGCTGGTAACGAGATCTTTGGGTGACGAAGAAGTGGGGCCAGTTGGTAGTTGGCTGCATTGGCTTTTTGAACTCTTTATCGATAAATATGCATCCTAAGTACTTGAATTCTTGAACTTGTTCTAATTGTATGTCATTGATCTTTATGTTTACATTACTGTGTTTCTTTCCTATGGTCACTACTTCAGTTTTTGAGGTGTTTATTTTCATGTCAAATTTTGTACAGTTAGTGAGCAATGAATCAACATGTTGTTGGAGTTTTTGTTTTTCTTCTTGTAACAAACATTGGTCATCTGCAAAGAGTAGTTCATTTATAATATCTGTGTTTTGGTTTGACTCCTGTGCAATTTTATCCATATATGTGATGAAGAGTATGGGTGATAGGACACATCCTTGTCGTACTCCTGATGTAATGGGAAACCAGTCTGTCATACCTTCCGTTGTTCTTACAGCACTCTGGCTATTTTGATAGAGAGCACTTATGTTTCCCAATAATTGACCCGGTACACCATATTCTTCAAGAATGTTCCATAGTTTATTTATGTTAACCCTGTCAAAAGCCTTTTCTTGATCAATGAATATAAGATTCTGGTGTTGATTATATTCGATTGTCTGTTCACAAATTTGCAGCTCTTTCCTTTTCTAAATCCAAACTGGTTGTTACTTAATTGAGGTTCTAATATCACCCTCGCTCTTCGTTCTAATATTTTTGCAAACATCTTTCCTACATTCTCATGGTCTATACAGTCGAAAATGTCTTCGGCTGATATTTTAACTGTTTTATTTTTTAATATTTTTCTTGTACACATTCGATGGATGTTATGAACTGATATCATTTATTAGGACACGCCTGATGGTCACTTGAAACGATTGATTCTTTCTGATAAGATTTACCTTCAATGGGCATTAATTAGCGATCATTATAAAGAGTCTGACACATGCAAAACACTTTTTCCATTGCCTGATTCAGTGGGGCGCTATCTCTGTGAGCTGACTAACCCCCAAGTTCTCTTGCTTATTGTGTTTATGGGCATATGAAGGTCAATTTCCCAAGATGTCTTGCACGAGCACATCGTGAGTTCAACAGGGACTAGCAGGACAGTAACACCACATTCCCACATCACTGAGTACAACAGGGACTAGCAGGACAGTAACACCACATTCCCACATCACTGAGTACAACATGAACTAGCAGGACAGTAACACCACATTCCCACATCACTGAGTTCAACATGAACTAGCAGGACAGTAACACCACATTCCCACATCACTGAGGAGTATTCAAAAATGTGAAAAGTGGGTGTGGATTATGTTACAGTCAGATTGTTGGCCTAGGTTCAGCATTTACGGCTGACAGACACTACTAGTGTTTCATCCCATACACACCAACATGCACAGTCAGCCTCCCAAATTCTATACAGAACTCAATGTCTGCCTGTGCTACACTACCTATGCGTATTGTCGAGTCCTCAACAAAGCTAATAGGTGAAGAAAAAGTTTGTGCCACCAATAAAAAAGCTTAAAAGTGTCATCATCATAATTCTTTTTTGTTTAAACCATTCCAAACTATGAGTCTGTCTTCCTTACCGCCTGCTACGGGGGAACACAGACTTGGACACAAACGGCAAGAGGATGCTTGCAGGATTGTTTCTGTATTCTGTAGCACGAATATGTTCCTAGTTGTAGCATGAGCTGGTTTCCAGCATAATCTAAATGACTGATTAGTCCTTAGTACCTGTGGGTGGTTGGAATTCACAAATAGATGTAACTATAACACTCTGGTAGCATTAATATTCAACTGGCGGCCTGCGGCCAAAACTGGCCCGCGAAGGCCTAACAAGTGGCCCGCAGATCAGCTGCCAGTTGAATTGCCTTAACACTCTTTCTATGTTGGGACTGAACATCTGACCCGTCAGCAACCCTGTTTCCCAAGTTCAAGCCTCTGAGTAAACTTAGTTGAATAGCTCTGCGTTGGTACATTATTCTGTAGCAAAGAGTCCCTAGTGTTTTATACTGAATGGACTGGTTCTATTTACATTCTATAATAGCAATGACTGGTTCCCGTCCGAAACTCTCTATAGCAGGCATTTGTTATCATTGAACCTGTTAGCATGGATTTGTTACTAGTGAATTCTGTGGCATGGATGATTAAATTTAATTCTGTTAACATCGAGGTTACATCAGTAATGAAGTTCTCATACGCATACGTGTGCTTGATCGTGACATAAATTATCATGTAATTCAAGGTTAGTCACAAGCATATTTTCTTCCCATATTACTTTCTGAAATGTATTAGTATTGCAATAGATGTTTGATGAAGATGGCTCCAGCTCAGCTATACTACATTGGTAAAATTATGCGCTGCTACTGTCAGAATTAGGTCAATACTACTGTGTCGGTCAGCAAACTGTGACTTCAAGCTAGAGACGGACATCCACTTACCCATACTGTAGGCGGCTCCCAGGGCGTTCTGCACCAGGTAGGGATTCTCTAGCGGCATCTCCTGCTCGCCCTCAGCAAAGGCTTGCTGGCGTCGGAACTCAATGTCCGAGTAGTTGCCTCTGACCGAGGGACCGAATGAACGTTGCCTGGTTGGCGCGGGACTCCGCTGTGGAATGTCCTCAATGGGAGGGGGTGGGGGAGGGGGAAATGTTGGTGGCGGCATTGGTAGAGTGCCTGTTGGAGAGATAAGATGTAACCACTTTGAATTAAACAGACACTGTGTGAACTGACTGAAGTTAACTGGTGCCCTCTTCAGGACGTCTCAAACAGACCTCAGCATTTAGTCTATTGTTTGTGTCGTCTTTGTCGATGGATGGCGATGGCAGCCACCAAACACTGACAGCTAACGTTATACAGGATCTGTGAATTCTTAAATGGGCGAACTAAAGTTCAACTTGTGATATAATACATCAACTGATAAATTCTGTCTGCATCAGCTGATAACTTTTTGTATTAATCAACTGATAACTTTTTGTCTGCATCAACTGATAACTATTTTTGTATACATAAACTGATAACTTTTGTATACATCAACCGATAACTTTTGTATACATTAACTGATAACTTTTTGTATATATTACCTGATAACTTTTTGTATACATCAACTGATAACTTGTTTGTATACATAAAATGATAACTTTTTGTATACATCAACTGATAACTTTTTTGTATACATAAACTGATAACTTTTTGTACACATCAACTGATAACCTTTTTTGTATACATAAACTGATAACTTTTTGTATACATCAGTTTAAAACTTTCTGGCATTGTGAAGTGAAACAAAAGATTTCGGAGGAAAACAAACACATACATAGAGACTGGCACTTGATATCCCGAAATTCGTGCGTTCTAATCCGTATAAAGGTGGATCTTTCGTAACCCACATTGGCTTCTGGGTCGACCCAGTCATACAATGTGTACTAAAATGTCATGGGAAGTAAATATGGCCTGAAATGCCATAGAAAGTAATTTTTTTTTTTTTAAATACCATTATACAATTAGAACAGTATACTGTATTTTTATAATGGATGGTCACAAACAGAGCGGCGTTAAAATAAAGTAAACATCGATTACTACAAGAAGAGCTCTGGAAATAATCTCATGTCCTCTGGCAGGCGTCCAAGCGCTGGTGACGTCACACCAAATCTCACTTTATGGCGTTAAGGCAGCCAGTTCACGTCCGTCTGTGAATAATTCTTTTCATCTGGTTTTCCAACAGACAGGCCGCGTGTAAACATGTGTTCATCATTTCTGTATCAAGCTAGTAAAATAATAATTATAAATAGGGGCGCTAAATTATTGTCGCCTACCTTTCAGTTTTATTTTTTACGTGACCGCTATTTTACATTTCAGGACGTTGCAGAACCAACCCCAACAGCCCCTGGCTGTTGCGTGGTTTTTCTAGGCAAATTTACGTCCAGTAGTTTGCCAAATGCCTTCTGGACGGTCGGCTTTCTTGATACCACTGCAGAAACCAACGCAAGGCGCATGGCCCGCAGCTGGGATCGAACCCGGCATTACGAAGCGTTCGCATCGACTTAGCCACAGAGCCGACCATTTTTGTTTACATCTACAATATTGTATTTGTGAAGGGCAACTTCAGGTCTCAATCACTGAGTCCCAATGACATGTCAAGGTCACGCTGTGTCTGCTATAGCAGCCTTTTATTTGTTGACGGCCATAGCGGTTTCTCATTCCTGGATCTTGTTTTTTATAGCATCAATCCAATCTAATAGTATCAATCCAGTTTAATAGCATCAATCCAATCTGATAGTATCAATCCAATCTGATAGTATCAATCAATCTGATAGTATCAGTCCAGTCTGATAGTATCAGTCCAGTCTGATAGCATCAACTCACATCTGATAAACCCTTGATTTTTCATTCACCTGTCCTGTATGTAGTATTCCAATTACAAGTATACCAATCTAATGTCTGATAGTATCAATGCAAAATCTGATAGCATCAATGCAAAACCTGAAAGCATCAATCAATAGTTTCGTCACTTGAATAAACAGTTTGATAGCATCAATCTAGTTTCATAGCAATACAACATATGATAGCAGCAATCCAAAGCATGATATAATACACAATTCGATAGCATCAGACCACAGTATGAGTGCATCAATCCCCAGTACAATTCCAATCCAAATTATGATAACCTAAACCCAGTTTAATAGCAAAAATCCACAGAATGATGGCAATAAAAAGTATGATTTCATCAATCCACAGCAGTTTCTCATCCAGAAATTCTTTTTGACATACACTGACCACGATAAGATCTACCCACAGTCTGACAGTACCATGGATTAACATAGAAATTCAAATACACACCCAGGGACAAGCAACAAAGGGCTGACGACATCAGTGAATCCCCGATTAACTGCTAGCAGAGACAACAATGGCAGGGTGCCACACACACACGTTTAGTTTATAAAAGAGTACAGATGCCACAGATAGGATGCATAAAAAGAGTTATAGGTATTAAAGGGCTGCAAATATATTCTGTATATCAAAATAAACAAGCCAAACCATTTGTTTTCGCCCTCGATTTACAGGTAAATCAAATGTGAATGCTGACATCCACAAAAGCCATGAAATCGTCAGTTTCTTGAATATTACCAAGAGATGACATCTAGCAGATGAGAGACACTGAATGTTGTCAACAGATGCAAATGTCAACTGAACAACCAAACATATAACAACATACACACATTTATATTGGAACATATTGAGCATTTACAGACCATGTGTGAGGTGAAGTCAATATTCTTGGACAATAATGGGAGGGCCTGCAGATATATTACCTTTCAGGTTATCATCATCATCATCATCATCATCATCATCATCATCATCATCATCATCATCATCATCATCATCATCATCATCATCAGGTGCCTTTCCGACTAGCGTAGGCGATCATGCCTCTTCACAATCTGAGAATTCTTTTTCTAACTCCCAATGACAAGGATATATTGCACAAGATGTTCTTCATTTTATGAAATGCAGTTTTTGCCTGTCCTATTCTGTTTCTTATCTCAGTTATGTATCTTCCATCTGATGTTATCCATGTGCCCAGATACTTCAATTTCTGTACTTGTCCCAAAATAACAGAATCGACTTTTATTACACATTTAGAAATAATTCCTTTCTTAGATACCACCATTACTTCTGTCTTCCCATTATTCAAAGTGAGGCCCATTCTTCCACTTTCTAACACCACAATGTCTATCATTTCCTGTAGTTCTTTCTGACTTGTTGCTATCAAGACTGTGTCATCAGCATAACGTATAAATTGTTTATACTGTGCCCACCAACCTCAATTCCTGGCATATCAATGAAAGATCTCATTATATATTCACTATATAGTGAACAAATTAGGCGACAATACACATCCTTGTCGTACGCTCCTCTTTATGCTTTGAAATGTACCTAAACAGTTGTTAATTCTTATAACTGCTGTTTGCTGCCAATAACATATTCTTTGTTATTCGTAGATCTTTTCCATCAATGTATAATTTTTCTAACAGTTTGATTACTTGTTCATGCTTCACACAGTCAAATGCTTTTGTATAGTCTATGAAGCATAAGTACAAATCAGTCTTTACTTCTATAGCTCTTTCTGACAATGTCCTTAGGATGTATATGTCATTGTTTGTACCTTTTCCTTCTTCAAATCCACATTGTTCATCGCTGATTTATGGTACACGTTATATGGAACTCAGATAAATAGAGGACTATGAAGCTCCATATCGTCACCGGAGCTATAGAATTCGTGCATTGTGCCACGCTATCGTCAGATGGCCAGCAGTTCTACATAGAGACCGAGCCATGTGTGATAAAATTCCATGCCTGAAGACGCCGTCTTAACTTTAACGATATTTTCTAATCATTCTCAGGCACCACCGATGAGGTTTATATGCTGGAGCAAATAGGCTCAGTACATAGTTACATCACCATAAGCCACAATTGAAAGTGACTAGAACATAGCTGAAGTGAAGCGGAGTCATGCATGTGACAGGACCAACGACATCTGATATGGAACTATATAAATTATACTGAAACCTCATGTTATTGTAATGTTAACATACGCAAGAGACAATAAGAGAACCGCCTAATACATGGAACAAAAGTTGCATGCGTTCGAAATCAAATGTCTGAGAAAACCAACATTAAAAGGAATGAATTCGTGTGGTGGGGTTGGGGAGGGTGGGTGTCTAAAGGAATTAGAGCAGCCACTGGTATAAACATCTATCAGACATAGAATATGGCGATATGTCAGAAATATCACGAGAAGAAACGCGCAGAGACTCACCAAACAGGCACTAAAATGGGAAATAAAGGGGTTAAAAAAGTGAACACTTCCAAAAGAAACTTTAAAACGAACGTTGATGAGAGGCCAAAGATGCTGAACTGAATTCTAACCATAACATTGAATTAATGGCATATGACAGAACGGAATGGAGTAACAGACTGTGAGCCCTATGTGACATATAATGGCACAACAGGACGGATATTATATACCTATATATATATATATATATATATATATATATATATATATATATATATATATATATATGTGTGTGTGTGTGTGTGTGTGTGCGTGCGTGCGTGCGTGCGTGAGTGTGTGTGTGTGTGTGTGTGTGTGTGTGTGTGTGTGTGTGTGTGTGTGTGTGAAGTAAAATCTAGAGAAGGTAAACAAAAAGTACATACCTTTAACCATATGAACCTAACATAGTGACAGTATCACTCGATAAATATAAAATAATCAATCCACTGGTGCAATGCAAGCGTTCTCATAAAACAAAAACACAACAATCTGCTGATTCACAGAATATCCTCACTAGCAGGCTGCCCTTGTGTAAGTTGAAAACCGTCGGACGACGCAAAGAAATCACTGCACGAAAGCCTGCAAACTATGGGGCCAAGCTAAAGACAACAAGCAACTGACATCCCTCTGAATGGCTATCACATGTGCACATACGCAATGGTGTTGAGCTGAGGCACGGGAAATGCTTTCTGTTCGAGTATACATGTATATATGGCGTACGTAAAACGTGACATTTAACAGAAATGCCTCGACCAGCAGATAAACCCGCCGTGTGGCCTTTGTGCCTGTACGTGATTGTGTTGGTACTTGCGCAGTCTCTGGGTTGACACGGTTCAGC